AACAGCAACCCAGGAAACCCTAGACTGCAGGCAGAGCGTCGTCGGCTCGACATCTTGCCGCTGAAGCTGCTCCATCCTGAAACAGTCTGCGAATCTGCAGGGAATTGGTTATGTATGTCTCTAACAGCACGAATCTACTCCCTAAATTGCCCCACGCTACGTACAATCCTTATCATTAACGGTATGAAAACGATGGAGTTAGGAAATTGAGGGATGGTTATAAGGTGGGAGCAGTATCCCAATGTGTAATCGCCAAAAGCCTCAGTGCCTTGGGGCCCCTAACATCGCCCCAGAACCACCCGCAAATGGGTTCCAGTGCCACGCCACAGCCAGGTTGTCCGGAGTTCATGAGGAGTGTGTGTCAGCAATATTGCGGAATATCATGCACCTATGGGGCGACGGACAACCGCGTGGCGGAGCCAGCTTTCTTTGTATTTCTGGTGTTGAAGAAGAAGTTGTATGGATTGCAAATGCTTTAGGGTCAAACAAATTCCTGAAACAAGTGCGGCTATGCGAATGCAAAGCCTGAAGAAGTCCACAGCGACTGCCCATCCTGAACCCAATCGAGCCCCAAACACGCCTTGGACAAATGGCTGGGTTGCTGTTAAGGAACTTAAACTAAGTTACCATAATATGGGTGTCTAGTAAGTAATAAAATAACAGGTTTTCATCGCTATAGTAACTTAGCTTAAGTTCCTTAACAGCAACCAGATGTAGGGCAACTGCTTCGCAGCTAGGCTGCATATCCACTGCCCTAGGCCAGGCTCCACCAGTGGACATCCCAGCAAGGGCGGCGTTGAAGCTCACAACATCCTCTGCCAGAATTTCAGCTGAAATCTCTCACTTTTACATCCTTGAAGGTCTCCCAGTGCGAGTCTAACGATGAAATTACTGATAAAAACAAATCATAACAATACTGGAAAACTGACAGTCGCATCAATAATTCCATCTCTTATAACAGGACTGAACCTGAGACCCAAAACCCTAAACCCAAACCAAACTCTAATAAAGAAGGCAGTTTGCAGCTGGTGCAGGTGCCACGTAAATGTGAGAGCTATCATCAGGCCAACTGAGTAACGTCATGGCCGCTTCTCTTGCAGAACCTACTCCTGCACCTTCCTTCCTGGTACCCTCTGTTAGGCATAAGTACCCCACTACTAGGGATCATCTATGCCTATCCTCATTAAAGGTACCTCCTTCTACCCTGTATTACGGCCTAAGTACTCACTATTGGGGGCCATATATCCCTGCTCTAATTAAGGGTACCTCCTTCTACCCCGTATCGGGGCCTCAGTACCCACTTGACTACTAGGGGCCAAATATCGCTAATTAATTGTACTGGGTGGGTCAGGGCTGCGTGCAAGCCATCAGGATACTGCTCTACATCCTGGCTTCACTCATCATACTGCTGCAGCCTTCCAAAGGGGCAATGTCCTGTGAATGCTGATGCTCCGGCATCACTGCCAGGATTGACGCCGCTTGCAGCCATGCGCTTCCACATGAATGAACCAAGGCATTGAAAACAACCTGGAAGTTTCGCAAGAGTGGGCCCCTAGAGACCCTAGGGATATGTAGAGAATATAGAGGGATTCTGGGGTCCTTATTAGGGGTTGCATGGTAGTTTCTATAAATAGGGGGCCTCAATATAGACCCCGATATACTATGATCCTTTGGAAAGGAACTCCCAAAAAGGTACCCGTAATTTTGGGAAACCCTGAACCGTGCATATATATATATATATCCCCATGTACACCTCCTATATCCCCCTTTAAAAGATCTTAAGCCCTATAGACCCTAAACCTTAAGCGCGTGAGGCTCATATGAGGATTACAACCCTACACTCTAACCCTAAACCCTAAACTCCAAGCCCGATAAATCCTACACTCCAAACCCTAAACCCTAAATTATTTTGAGAGACACCCACCTGGCTCACCTGCACGGCCAGCTGCCTCAAGGCATGTGCCTCGCTCTGAAGAAGCTTCCGGATCAAATTCGGGTTTTAGGGGTTTAGGGGTTAGGGGTTTAGGGGTTTAGGGGTTACGGGTTTAGGGTTGGGGATATATGGAGTGCCCATAATGATATAAGGATTCGATCATAGGGCTTAGTTGGGTTTGGGGGGCTAGAAAATAGGGATGATAGAATTATCTGGGGCTTGAGCTAAACAATAGGGATCATAGGGATGATATAAGAATATATAAGGATATGAAAGGTTTGGGGGTTGTATGTACAGATGTATTCCCAGTAAGTTCCCCATATTTAGGACAATAGCATGCTCGGGGTCCATGTAATCTGAAATTCAATCGCATGCTGCCACGTTTGTCTAAACTCCTAGTATCCCCCTTGATATCCTCTATAGTAGTCCCCTATATAATCCCCTATATAACCCCCCTTTAAGGAGTTTACACTATAGCTCAACTGAGTGTCGGGCCAAAGCCAGGCTAAGACACCAATGCCCAGCCACGGTTGAAGCCACAGCGGCGCCCAAGCTCACCGTTGTCAGCTGCAAAGTAGCACTGCGCATTCCTCACAGAGCCCGCAAAAGCACTGGGACATATGCTTTGCCATGGACTGACTACAGTCTCCCTACTCCGTAATCTACACGTAGTTTACCTGCCACCGCACCTGCTGCTAGTACTGCAGTACTGCTGCCAAACGCAAAACCAAAGTTTATGTTCATGGCCGGGGGCTCAATGTCCAGGTGAAAACTGCTGAAAATAATTATGGGTCAGCATGCGAGGGTTGCAGATTAGGACAGCTTTGTTGAAGAGAGCCTCCTTAAATACCAGGCTCCAGTCCTTGTACAAACTCGTAGGCGGATTGCCACGCGTCGGATCGCTCGCAGGCGCGGATTCGAATGTTTTGGGAAATGGCGCTTTGTGTAGGGGACCTTGGAATACTGAGCTGTCACTTGTTCAGTTGGTATGCCATACAGTCCATGAGCTGCCCTACGCCTAAACAAGAAACAGCAAACTCAAAAGCTCACTTCTATCGAGGTATCCAAGAATGAGACGTTCCACAAGCTATGCCAGCGGCCATACATCGAAACGCCAAACAATGCTTTGTAAATTTCGCCGCTGCTTGATTCATCAAAGATGCCCGACACATAGGGAACCTAGCCCCTCTTGCCAGGAGTTGTGTGAGCTGGCATCGAGGGCTATGTTGACAGCCACGGCATCACGATGCAACCTCAGGTTCCACGCTGGTTTCTAGCACAAGCTGTTGGAAGGGGGCAAGAGAAACTGTAATAACCAAACACCTTTGGCCAAGCTTTCAAGGGCTTCCTGATCCTCGTCACTTTTGCTGCATGTTGCAAACAACTCCCCTGTTGACCTTCTGTGAAGGCCCTTAGGAGTTAGCTTAGGGTTTGATTTGCTAGGGGCTTGATTTGAAGGTGTTTCGGGACAACATCAGGCACTTCTCTTGTGGTGCCTTTGCTTTTTATGGGGTCTGCAGAAAGCTGCCAAACGAGTCTAGGGCATTGACCTCTCATACAGACGAAACATCATAGTCTGGTCAAACGTGGATTAAGACAAAAAAACCCTCTCCGAGGCCCTATCACAATCACTTCCTCCCAAGCAGCCTCACGTGCATGATGCTGTCGATGACCTTCGTAAGATTCTATACGGACTATACTGGGCTTGTTTAAGGATTTTATGGGGATCACGGGTTGCCGACAAAATCTCCCATGCACTGTACTGATACAAGCATGCGCATCCCGAGCACTATTTACTGGCGATTAGAATGGAACAAAAATATACACATATAGGGTTTTTTTCCGACATCATCTTGTTTCCCAAGCCCTACCCTGCAACGACTGTCCAGTCAAAACTTGTGCAAGGCGTAGGCGCAGCAGCGGAGCCGCAGCTGCAAATATCATTTTGTCTTCGTACATAGACTCATCGTAATTGAAATGGCCCAACGTATGCTCATAAACATGTTTTTGGGTGGTATGCAGCCAGTTCTGTCTGGGGCGACCGCACCTTCTCTTTCCGTATATTCCACTCTCGTGGCAGAATGCGGCAAAAAAAAGATTTGTCTTAGTGGATCATCGTTATTACTTCGGAGAACATGCCCCAATAACTTAGCCCTACGAGACATGTGGTAATCGCTAAAGGGTACGATTTTTCTACGGTCGCCGTGTTCAGGAAACTATAGCGGTCGCTGTTTCTAGAAGTTGTTTGTTTGTGTTTGCTCTGTTTATGAACGTCGGAGACATACCTATAAGATTTTTCTGATGCATCTGAACTGGAAAGCGTCCAGCTTCTTTGATAATGATTGAGTTAAATGGATAGTTTCCAGCCCATAGAGTAACTTTGAACGAATGCTTGCATCAGACACTATCAGTTTCCATCGCTTGCTGGCTCTTGTCGCTTTCCAGTACGCACTGAGCTTGAACCATGTGCAGCGTACCTCTTGCTTCTTTCGTACTACTTCATGCTGGATGTTAGCATCTCTGTTAATCTCATTTCCTAAATATGTTGCTTCAAACCCCTTGGCTAATTGCGTACCATTTTGAAAATGGATAATACCATCATTATTCATAGGTATCGCGACACATTTATCACGATTCAGGTTCAGACCGTATTGCTTGGATATTCTTTCGGTGAGACTCAGCAGCTCGTTCAGCCCACGGTTTGACTGAGAGTAAAGAATTGTGTCATCAGCATAGTACACCATGTCATAATTGAGGCCCGGGATACGGTTATTTACAACATGTTGGCTGATGGCGCTTTGTATGTCCGAATCTATACACGTCATGACGAGTACGAACAGAAAAGGTGAGAGCGGACAGCCCTGCCTTATTCCGGCAGATTGCACTCTCTGATCAGAGATCACATATTCATCTTTAACATAGAAGGTCGGCTTTCGATAGCAATCTTTAATAACATCTACATAATGTGCAGAAAAACCCATTCTATTCAGGGCTATAAATAGCTTGTCATGCTGCACTTTGTCGAAAGCCTTCTCCCAGTCTAATAGTGCCAGACTCAATTTGGCTGATTTTGACTCAGCAAAATCTTGGATACGCCGTATCATGTGTATTGCATGAGAAGTAGACTTTCCAGGCAGAAACCGTATTGAGTCTTTGACACATGCTGGGCGACTGCATCTTGCATACGGGACCTGGTCATCATCATGTAGATTTTGTAGGCGCTGTTTAACAAAGATATAGGCCTGTAGCTTGCCGCTACATCAGTGTCACCTTTCTCGTAGATTGGGACCACCTTAGCCAAGAATAACTCGTCCGGCGCCTTTTTATCAACCTACCACGTGTGAATTAAAGACAGCAAGATAGCTTCGTCATCTCTATCCAGCCATTTGAACAACTCCATGACGACTCCATCAGGTCCCGATTGTTTGTTTACTTTTGTCGCTTTTATCGCTTGGTTTAGCTCGTCTAAAGTGAAATGTGTTTCAACCGCGCCATTGTCATTGACGATTTTTGTTTCGTTTGGTAACTCAGCTTGCAAGTTGTTTTGCCAGTGTTCTGAAGCCAAGTATTGTGCCACTGTTTCGGCTCGCTTAATCAACGGAACGTGTTGTCCAGCTTGGTTTTGTATTTTGACAAATTGGGGGACAAATCTCTTCCTCAAGTCTTTGACCGCCTTCCACATGGGCTTCTTTTTTTTAGCACAAGGATTGTCATTGAACTTTTCGATCTGGACGTCTGTTTATCCATTTTAGCAGCTTTCGCAATATCCTTATTCATACCTCTGATTTCTTGAGACGTTGCCCCGTCTCGTCTCATAGTATTGCGTGTTTCTATCTTGCGCCAAGTGGCTCTGCTTAAATATGTCTTCTTTTTGCCTCGGTGTATCTTATCGAAATGCTTTTCTGCAGCCTTCCGTATTGTCTGAACTAGAACATGTATGCTCACATCATTTGAGTTGTACAGCTTTTCTTCTATGTGTTGGTTATATTGCACCCACTGTTCCTGTGAAGGTTTAAAGTACGGTTTTGTTTCATCCCGTGTTGTCTTTTGCTGTGCTAATGTCGATACGACAATACAACATTCCACTATGAAATGGTCAGAGTCAGAGTAGATATCTTTTCTGCGTTGAATATCCACTACCGAATTCTTCCATACAGCGCCCGCAAGCCAAAAATCTATTTGAGCGTATTTGATAGCATCAAAGGGTGGCCCTACCTCCATAGCATCTTGTACTCCCTTTAATCCCTATTGACCACCAAGCTATTTGATGATGTCTTGGCATGGCGCACCGGTGCAGATGGGCATCTTACAAGGCTACCTCCGTCTTTTCGCGGGCGACATCTTGGGTTCACCCCTATCACGTTACCCAGGGGCTCCTATTATGTAGTTCCTTTTTGGGTTTGTTTTAGTTTTCTTGGTAAGGGATTATAATGTACTACCCAAAAAAGAGCTGGATTGGAGTTCTGGGTAAAGCTTTTTCCAGAAGTGTAGCTCTCCTCTCAGGACGCTTGGAGAAGGATTTCGTAAATAGTCCTATGGTTGAGCCACATCGTTTTCTCAGAAGTCATGTCCACCCAAGACATTCTCATGTAAATGATAGGTTCGAAGACTTCAAGGACCCCAAAAGCGAACAGAATCCAAATCAGCATGTACCCCCTGAGGACAGGAAGCTTGAATTTGGTATGCGGCTTGCGTACGTCTCGCTCAATCCGTAACCCTATCCCGTGCGTCCTCGTCTACTACACTCCCTTCTGGCCTTTGCCTGCGAGGCAGGCGAGCTCCAAACAAGAGGTTCCAAGAGCAGGACAAGGGTTTAGGGCAACAGTTTAAACATAAGCCATTAACCCCACTGCAGGCGCCACTGGAGCACAATGAACTTATCAATTCGCACAGGGAATCTGCAGTATAGCTCGGCCAAAAGACTGACAATGAGCGACTCCAGCTGGCGACCTTGCCTTACTTCCCAGCAATGCATGGCAACTGACAAAGGTGTGAGTAAGGGCTCTTGCCTTCTGGGTATGACCTACCAG